AAAATTCCGGAATCAGATCTGGTTGAGATTTTGAAAGAGAATTTGAACTCCCAACTCGGAGCATTTATGTTGGCTTCTCCAATAGATTCGTTAGCAGAGTTTAAAAAGAAGGGAAGACGGTTGGAGAAGTGGATAAGAGATAAGAGAACACGTCCGCGTCAAGTCAACGAGATTTTCAACGAGTCAGAAGAAGACAGCGAATCAGAAGAGTACCAACTTGAGGCGTTCCAAAAAGACCGGCGACCGCAGGGAGCGAATGCGGAAAAGCCGAGCAGGACGAACCCATTCCGGCAAAATACAAACAAGAAAGTTTTCACAGGAGGGAGCGGGCCAGAAGCAGGAGGAGAGTGCACATCCCCGTTTCACACATATTTGTGTTACACTTGCAACAAGCCGGCCGATTTCTATCGCCATCGCAACCAAGCAGAGGGGACAGGATGCCAAGCCCGGTTCCATGACACCCAGTGTCATTACTGTGGCAAAAGTGACTCGTATCACTCAACGCAGGCTCCTTTTTTATCGAAAGGTCTGACCAGGGACGCAGGGGAGCCCGGTCAGAAAAACGAGACACAGAAGCAATAGAGAACACGATCGCGAGCCCGGCGCAGATTTCTCCGCATAAATCCTTTCAGCAGCGGAAGACGGAGTATGAGGCGGCTCGCGCACGCATCTTTAACCCGGACGATAAAAAAAAGGACGAGAGACAGCACCGGAAGGACAAGAAGCTTCAACACCTTCATCATTAAATTATATGGAATATCCAAGAGAAAAAAAAAAAACAATAGTCCCATTTTTTTTTTTTTCACAAATGTTTTTACAAAAAATTATCCCGGCTAGTTCTGTCGATAGAGCACGAGACTCTGTATCCCAGGGTATGGGTCGAGGCCACACGTTGGGCTGGACTCAGGCACATGAAAAAAAAAAAACACCCTGTAACCGCTTGTCGTAGAATTCTTTTTGCGAGGTCGTTCCATACGGAATCCGCATCGACGACATCGAGCCTGTTACGAGGGCCTGTTAGGGCGGGAAGCGAGTCAAAAAGGGGGCAGCAGAAGCCACAGTCTCTAAAGTTGCGAAAGAGAAAAGAAAGACCAAAATTTGCACAATGCAATATAATGCAATAATTGGGCAATTCAATGGAAAAATATAGCGGTCCGCAAAGCAACGAAAGACTGATATGAACCCGAGAGCTGACGCTAGCTAAATCCAAAGAGTGCCAGTTAGCTAGAAAAAGGGGAAATGAGTACCTAGATGGGAACACTTAGGTACGAAAATAAGAACCCGGAAGCAAAAAGAAAAGCTCAGCTGCTGTATAAAAGAACTAAAACTCCACGGAGAAGTCAGTCAGATTCTCAGATACGGCCGGTACTATTACAAATCGAGCGCAAAGAACAAAATAATCCGTTCGACGGAAAGTTCCAAACAGGAACATGAATCCTCGTTTCGCGTTGCACATAAACTCCGTGTAAAGGACCCAAAACAGCAAAATGGGATCCAAAGTTTCAAAAGCGGAAGGCAACACTGCCAATGTTATAAATAATGTCGAAGTGGTAGACCACAAGGACGAAATTGTAAAAGTGTTTAATGTCTTGTGTCTGATAGCAGTGTTAATAATGGTCCTTATAGTCCTCCGAGGACTCAGGATGTACAAAAGATCCGTACAACTCCGTCGGGATCACGGACACGATTTAGAAAGGATCGTAACCGCTGCCGCTAACTGGCCCGAGCGAAACCGGGATTAAGCACCAACAATAAAGTGAACTAAACCAAAAATAAAACAATCAACAACCGCAACAAGAACCCAAACAACAGAAAAACAAACAAATAATTATCAGTAACAACACTGAAAACCCAATCCAGCCACCACAACGAACGTGCATGTGTAATACGAAGCTCAGCGAGAAGTCACCGCCGTGGAGTTCACCTGGATGACCGAGTGCCGCTTTCTTTTATTCCCGCCATGTTCTCATAGTTTTTTTAATTGTCTGTTCAGTGTTTATGAGAAAAGAAAATTAATAGTTACGCGAAAGACGCGATGTCCAAGATATAAATTACACCCAAAATAAATATTATTTTTAAGTGCACTAATACACATACACATACATATACATATATATATATATATATGCCCAATTTAATTTAATATTTATCGCCAACCCAAATGATCCAGAGCGTCGAGATCTCATCGCCCAGGACTTAAAGGGGTAAGTTTGCCGGAACACGGTTCCTTTTTACCAGAAACATATTTATATATATATATACATACACCATGATTAATACACAGGCCCTCGCGGTCACTCTCAGAAATGAACCACATTTTTATATTAAAGTGAAATATATTCTGTCTAAAGTAAATTCACCTATAACGATAAATGATTTGGAACTTTTATACATTGAGACCTTCCGTCTTAACTTTTCACCGCTCATACACTGTAATAAAGTAGAAAAGGCCTTAGTTTGTGCTACAATACCCAACACTAATGTTTACTCTGAAAGCTTTTCAAATAAATTTCTTGGTGAAGTTAATACCTTTGTCATCCGTCTGATGAATTAGTTAAAGTCCAATACAATTATTCAACAAAAAAAAAACACACTACCATATAATCCAACTAATTTTAATCATATCTTGACGTAGGTTAACCTTTTTATAACTTTTTTTATAATTTAATAACACCTTGATTTTTCAGCGGCGAGTATCAGCCTTGTGTTCGTATGAACGATCATAAGAGCCTCAGAGCGACGTTTGTAGTCGTGAATAGTCAGCAATTTGTTGACGTGTGCACCTTATACAGGTGGTAAATTCGATACTCTCCGCAAACAATCTTTGTTGTCAACTACAATTAATTTCATATGTAATACCAATCATAATGTTACTCAAGTGGCACTTGCCAATATTTCCTACAATAAAGTTTATAATGTAAATCAAACTTTATAATGTCTTGGTAGAAACCAATTAAAAGGGGAGCTGGTAAACATGGAAGAAGGGGTCAAGAACAATGACATAACTTTTGACTGACGACCGCGACATTAGGGGATCGTATTGCGCGGCCCGCGACGATCCATTTGGCACACGAACGTGTGAAGGGGAGGGAATGTGGCCGAAACACAGCCCGATCGTGTTACGATCAAGCTACAGCTGAGCTTGTGGGGCAGTGCAGACAGAAGACCAACGGACCTTACGAATTCTATCCATTTTTTTTTCAGGCACGATAAATTTATTCTCATTATGTTGGAGAGGAAGTGGCTTCCAAAGAACCCACCCCAAATACGGCGAGCTTAGCCGGCAGCCAGCGTGCCTGCTCAGGACGCAACTTCCTCGGCCCAAGTCCTTCTCAGGACTGGGGCACTAATATGCCGACGTAACACCCTTCTTTTTTCTTTTTTTTTTTTTTTTGCATACAATTTTTTATGATATTCTTTTTTGGTAATTTTTTCAGTACTTTTTTGATTATTTTCTTCTTTTTTTTATGTTAAACTTTGGCCGTAAACTAACTTTGTCGGGTGGGGCTTGATAGTGTCTAGGGAGAATTGATGTTGCAAAGGGGTGGGTTGGGGCTTCAAGGGGTTGAGGGTACGGGGTAGCAGCAGTTCGAGCTGAGCTGGCCACGTTAGTTATTAGTCGGTGGCTCTGCGGGTTGAGTGAACATGAGAGCGGCGATAAATGTCTAGTTCAGCACTCGAAAAAAAGATCCCCCCCGAAAGCGGTGGAAGCGGAAAACATTGATAAACCAATGGGAAGGGGAAGACGGAGGGGAGTCCGGAAAATGTGGCATCGGGAAAACTGCCAGATAATCGCTAGCTTAATTCCCCGTCAAAGGGGAACGCATCAATTAAATATTTTAGAAGAAATTTAAAAAAACACAGAAGAACTTTTAAGTTTTGCATTTTAAGAGCAAGATTATATTATTTATTACTAAAAATTTTGTTTATTTTATTTATATTTAATTTTTAATTGATATGCTAGGCAAAACAATTTGCATCATGTATGTTTATTTATTATTCATTTTTGGAAATGTTTTTTTGTTTTTAAAACTATAAATAATGCAACAAATACGAAAATGTAATGAAATGTTTAGCTTATTTGGTTTTTACTTAATTGTCTTTACAAACCTTACAAAATATATATAAAAATAATATATAGCTCGGGTTTTCCCTATTTTCCCTTTAGTTATTCAGAGAGTGGTTCAACTTTATCGCAGCGATTGCAGCTGGAAAATTGACATCGGCTGGCTGACCAGCGAAAACGAAAACTAAATAAAAATGCAGTGCAATTTACGGTTTGCCGAAGGGGTGGGGTGTTGGGCGGTGGGTGGTGCCTTGCACCTAGATAAAAGTCAAGGGGGAGGGGGTGGGTGGGATCCAAAAGTACTGCCAATTTCATGCTATGCTCTCCCTCCTTTGTTCACTTCGCTCTCATCTCTTGCAGCAATCTTCTTCGGCGGCGACTCCCATTTCCCCTTTCCCCCAATGAATTGTTGTTCTCATACCATGCATATTGAGAATTTCTGGGGATGTTGTGTCTTCAAATTAAACCCCTAAAATTTTAATTATTAAATTTGAACAAAAAATAAAGCAAAATAAATATTAAATACGAATTAGAAAAATTTTAAAAATTTATTTCTATAAATTTTTCAATAAAATCCTCATAAAAGGTGATCTCCCATTCGATTCGATGCATGGTGCTCTTTGATTTTTTCTGCATTTTCCGCTACCTTTTTGCTGCGCATATTCTGATGTACTATATGCGCTCGTTTGGGTGTTTGATTAAATTTACAACAACGGAGCAGACCGAGTAGAACAAAAAAGCAAGAAAGAAATGCGGAACCGAGAGCTCTCTTTCGATAGGGAACCGCCTTCGGGTCTCTACTGCGCCTGTCCATTGAATCAATCGATGGCCAATAACCAATACCCCATGACCCCTGGCCAATAACCAATACCAATGGATACCTATATATATATATATACCGAAATACAAAATTATTGCAGGCGTGGCACACGAAATGCCGAATACCGAGAGACCCCGAGCCAGGCCAAAGCTCCGGAACAGAAACCGGATTCGGGCCAGGCCCGCCACGCCCGAGGATGTGCTGGAGAATCACCTTCAGAAGCTCTTCGAGGAGCAGGAGCTACTGCACAACCTGCTGATTAGCCATCGTCCGGGGATCAAGGCCCAGCTGGAGGATCTCGGGGGCGAGAGCAACTACGAGTTCGACACCCAGGACGAGGAGGCGGATGAAGAAAAGCAGCTAAACTTCAAGGTACGCGAACTATTAGCCCAATAAACTATCCAAAATAATTGCTATCAACTTGCAAGTCCATAAAATGAAATAATAATATGAGGGATACTTTTTTCTTACTTCAATTGATTATGGATAAAAACAATTTTTTTTCTGCTCTTTTTCAATCGTAATTTGGACAAATCAAGGCCCACAGAAAAATGACCGACTGTTTTGAGCAGCTTACAACCTAAACTAACGATCCCCATCACTTTCGGGAAAATCTATTTTTTTTTATCGATTTTTGCCTTTTTTTATGATTTCATGATTTTCATAATTTTTTGCGAAAATTGACAAAAATTAAAAATTTGCAGGTTTAAATGCAGATCGATTGTGAATTTTATTACGAGTTCAACGAGGTATGACATTCCAGAATTGGATCATTATTTCTATTTTTATGACCAAAATACTATTTTTGTTTGCGTGAAAAATCAGGATTTTGATTTTTGGTGCAATTTGAAAATAATAAATATTAACTATTTCTTTCTTTCATTGTGATTACATTATTACATTCTATATAACATTATTATTATTACATTCTATATGCCAATGGAGCCGGTTGACGAGAATCCAAAGGATTTTAGTGGCCAACCAGATAACGTAATCCTGGCCGAGGATGTGGAGGAGGACTACTCGGATCCTCCGAAATTCGAAGACCTTCCGATCCTTCCGCCTCGAATTTATCCGCATTGCAAGAACCACATCACTAGTGCTATTCCACTGCCCATTTTGGTGGGCAAATGCACCGCACCGAAGGTCGACGGACAGGGCTACGATCCGCCCTTCCTTTATCCCGATTTCATTGCCAAAAACGAGAAGAGTCGCGTGAAGTGTGAGTTATCTATAATGAATTTTGGCGATATATCATAAAACCTAATTCATAATTAATTTCGTAGACATCTTCACTTTGGTGGATAGTTTGGTCCAGCAAATGGAGCGTTTTCTTAAACTCAACGAACATTCGGTGGGCGAGGGAGCCAAAAAAAAGCGACCCACCGGAACTGTTCCCAAATCGAAGTCCCAGAACCAATTCAAAATCGATCAAGTGGGTCATGCGAAATATACGATTATTGTCAAGCCTCGTTTAAGGGAGCCAAAGCAACACAACCAGTCGAGTGAGTGAGAAAAATATAGCAAAATCCAGTTACTATAATCCAAAACAAATCTATGAATCCTGAAGAGAATCATCGTTTGGCCAAAAGTAAGATGCCGAAATCCAAACCGGAAACTAATCCCGAACTGGATTTGGATTTGGATTTGGATTGTGAATTCGGCATGGAGCACATTGAGAAGTTTCGAGCCAATACGGTTCGCGATGAAAAGCCTGGGAAATCCGGAACCAAAAAGAAAGTTCAGGAGAAACCCGCTGAAAATGCTGAAGGTGCTGAAAAGGAGGAAGAAGAAGGTAATTAATTTAATTAAATTAAATCAAATTAACTTACATTTAATTAATTTATATACAGAAGATGAAGATACAGAGGTGGAGGAGGAAAGAGAGGAGAAAGTAATGTTGGTAAAGTTGAAAAAACAGGAACCGATATTCGAAACAATTCTGAGTAGACCACCATCAAAGAAGGATGAATACTCGTATATGTCGATTCTTGAAGCTGGCCTGGCCAAAGCCCGTAGAAAGCAGTTGAGACGGGAGAAAAAGTATGGCAATGTCACTCCGCGACCTTCGACGCCCTCCACGCGACCTTGCACGCCCATCGAAGAGCCGCCTGCTGCCCCGAAAACCTCGAAACACTCCACGTTCTATGAGCTATTTGCGGCCCAATTGGATGCCGGTCAACTTGAAAGGAGCACCCTAACGCCATGGCGTCTGTTACAAGCCAGAGGTAGGTCACATAACTAATTTATGGTCTAGACTAGGGAATATCGCAATATATCGAAATTTAAAAAATCGAAACTATCGATAACTATTTCGTTTTTCAACGATTATATTTTTTGATAACCTCTTTCTACGTTAAATATATATAATTAATTTATCGCAAACATATTGCAACGCTAAGTTATCGATTTTATCGGTAGAGCATCGATATATCCCTAGTCTAGACCCATTTAGATAAGCATAATCCCCCTGGTCACAGGACCCCCGCCATTAAAGAGCTGGCAACGGGAAATCGTTAGGTTTGTGCGAGAGTATAAGAAGGAAACAAAACGAAGACAAAGAATGAAAGAGAGGGTCAGAATGGGAAAGAAGCCCATGGCGAAAAGAAAGCCCAAAACTTTGCTAGAAGAAGTATTGGGTAAAAAGGGATCGCGAAGGGAGCTGCTGCACCGGAAGTACCATTATGTGCCCATCAAGTTGAAGAAGAAGCGCCACCGGCACTACAAGGCCTACAAAAGGCAGAAGGAATGGTTCAGGGCGGAACGTCAATACAAGCGAATCCTGTACCTAAGGATTTTCCGACCCGACGATCTCTTCAAGACCAAATTGACCAAGAGGGAAAAATGGGCCCAGGGGCGTCAATTCTTCAACATACGAATCCTGGATCCGGTGAAGCCCAGGAAATTTCCCAAAACAGAAGTACCCGAAATGCCAGCCGAGGAAGAGTGGTCAGAGGATGAGGAGGATCCCGACGCCAGTCCCAGGCCCATGGACAAGGGTCAGAGGTTGAAGAACCTGCTCATGGAAAGCGCTCGCCTGAAGCGGCAGGAGAAACTCCATCATTTGGTACTGCCCGAGGATCCCCTGAGGGCAGTCTACCTGCCCCTTCTAGAGCGACGAAAGAGCCTGGTCGATAACGCCACAGAAAAGATTCCTGAGAAGGAGGAACCCGAAAAAGTAGAAGAGAATCAACCCGAAGCAGTGTTAGAAACATTGGATAGTGCCAGGACTTTCTATAGCACATCCACCACTATCGAACTTTCCAATGTTCCACTGTCGATAGCCACAGTTAGCACTCTCTTCTACGAGTCCAAGCCACCACCAATCGAAGCAATCGAAGCTAAGGAGGCAATCGAAAACAAAGCCCCCGAACCCATCAAAAAAGAAAAGAAAGCGGAAAGAAAGCGAGAGAAAAAGGAAAGACACCATCATAGAGTTGGTCCCAAAATCCGATTGCCCGATGATAAGGCGGAATTCCGGAGATACTTCGATTTGGATGGTATTTCGCTGTACATCCTGAAGCGCATGTCCAAGATGAAGCCCAAGAAGAGCCGGCCACGCATCGAAGGTCGCGTAAGGATCTCCAACTATCTGACGCATTTCTACTGGCAGCGTTTGCGACGCGATGATCCGTACTTCCATTGGTTCGTCAACGAGGGCTTCTACCCGGCTCACTACCTCACTAAGGTGGGTAAAGCTATCGATGGCACTATCGAAACTATCGATATTTAGGAAAATATCAATGATTTGGTTTTAATATCTAAAGTATAGCTCAGCTAAATAATTTAATTTTAATATAGTTTGTCAATTACTTCCGATATTATCGATACCATCCATATTTAGTAATAATATCGATGGCTTGTTTCGATTATCTAGAGTTACGCAAGACAAAGTAATTTAATTGTAATATAATTTAACGATTTTTTCGATATCATCGATACTATCGATAGTCAGTTATCACAACGCCTCTGTCTCACCCAGCTGAAGGAACTCAAGGACCTCCAGGTCCAGACGAATGACCAACTGGATGAGGAGATTCTGCAGTACATAGAACGGATGAATAAGGCGGTCAGTGAGGGCGAGGAGAAACCGTTGACCCTAACCTGGCAGATGGCCCACCTGATGGTCACCTCCTACTTCTGTGTGCTCTACCACAGAGCCACTTCGAAGCGCCGACCTGTCGAGGAGAGGTCATTGGTCCGGTGTCGCATTGCCGTCTCGGTGGTGGAGCTGTATCAACAGGAACTGAGTCGCGGATGGGGAAAGGACATTCGGGTGAATTGCAGGCGACTGATGAGCTGGGCCCGCTGGCACGAGACTCGCGTTCGGCTGATCTACGAAGAGGCACTTGTGAATGCCGAGGAGAGGTCCTCTATCGAAACCTGCCTGGTGATGCGTACTCCGAATTTGGAGTGCCTCGATGAGTTCTACGAACGTCGTGTTATGCCCCGACCCGATGCCTTGGCCATCAATCCGTTGGCCCACAAGATACGTCGCTATCCCCAGAACAAGAAGATAAAGAAAAAGAATAAGCGTAGTGTTGGAAAACGCCATCGAAAGTTCCCTTGTCCCATTCAGGGTTGCAAGATGACTTTGCGCTCCAGTGTTGTAATGTCGCACTTTCTCAGCGATCACTGCCGCCGTTTGCAGGAGCTTTGGCTCACCGATCGCATGGTTCTGATGTTCTATCCCAGTTCCTATCCGCCCGAGCAGATCTACTGCATTTGTGTGCTGGCCCTGTTGGTCAGGATGCCAGCCAAAAAGGCCCCGATACCACGGACCATAATCAACGATCAGTTGCCCTCACAATATCTGTATTTTGCCGAACATGCTCCGTGTTTTCTGATGTTCGCCCAGGTCGAAAGGTCAACGATTGAGGAAAAACCATCTGCAGATCCCAAACCCAATAATCGTGACTCTCTATACATCTTTTGGCTAACCAGCGCCGATTTTCATCTGAAAAATGTCGTCTGTCGCGTCTACATTTATTGCCAGGATCGCAGTCTCAAGGGAAATTCGCTGTTGAATTTCGTTAGCATGTCGGAGTTTAAGAGCGTTGCCCATCTGGTCAAAAATCAGCCGGGCAGCTATCTGGCCATCGATTATAAAACTATGGCATCGCTGACCAAGGACTTCAAGGAACTGCTCTTTATCGAGGTGCGCTACCTCAATAAAATGGTCGAGCATGAAGATTCCAATGACGAGACCTTCGATGTTTAGAAATTTGGTTCGATTTTGGTTGAATCTTTATGTGCAGCCATCTAATCTATTTATTTGCCATTTTCATTGCAGAACCTCTGGGCAGAAAACTTTGAGGGATATCAACAGCTTAATTGGAACTTAACTGGAACTATATATATATTTTTATATGCCAACTTTGGAAAATTATTGTGTCACTTGAAATAAACACAGGTTGTGGGTAATAAATTGAAGAATTCCTTTAAGAATCCTTTATTCGTTTCCATTTTAATATCATAGCTATCGCCAGAAAAGAAATTTAAAATAAGCAAAGCGAGGCAGCAAATCAAAAAACAATTACGCGGCAAATGACATTATCAAATGTCAAATGTCATGTTCCTTCTTTATTTTTTATTTTTCGTTCTTCAAACTCTCCCTTCCCCAATTTTCGTTGTATCTTGTATCTGGAACGTAGTATCTCGCGTATCTCTGAAATGCAAAGCAGCAAGAATAAAAAAAAAACAAAGAGAGCGCATCAAATTTGTTCGAGGCAATTTTTCAATTCATTGAAGTGGAATTCATAGGAAGCCCCCGAAGTCCGGACTTTGGATACTAAGCGCCACTTGACTTGCGACCCAGCGACCCCCTCGCTGACCTCCGCCCCTGTAAGTGGAAACCCCCTTGGGTGGAGTGGGCTGTGGAGTGGGGGAGTATCTGAAATCAAAATCAAGATTTTTGATTCTTTTATACACGCGCATTACACCCCTCCGATAAAAAGTTTTGGGGGATTGGTGGTTGGGGAGGGGGTTGTTTGGCGTTCACTTTGTTTGCCGGGGCTTCTTTTATTCTCTGGAAATTGGCTTTAAGCCCGTTGTTTGTAAATAAATCTTTGAATTGCCTTTGTATTTGCACATTATTGGTTGGCCAGCACAGTGAGCAAAAGCAAAGTGGAGCTACTAGAATTGAAGAATAATCCAATCTTAAATCTACTTTAATTTGTTTGGAAATTTATAAAGATTTAAAATTACTTTCAATATTTGTTATGTTATAAGTATAATATTTAGTATAAAAATGTATACCATTTCATTGCTCATTTCTCCCAGTGCAGCTGACTTATTGCGGTTAGTTGAAGACGTCGCTTATGATGGGCGCCCCTAACAACCGATGTCCCACCTGGATTTTGGTTCTGGGATCTGCGATTCCATATGCATTCGGCGACTTATTCCGCCTGATATTGATGGCCGCCCATTTGTCTCTCGGGGAGGTTGAAAAATCGCCCTGGCAATGACCCTGGGCCATGGCCTCTAATGAAAGTCAACACGCAGGACGGCGAACTAATGACCTGCGGGAGGTGGCCACTGGCCACCCAGTGGGTGGTTTCGTCTTTCATCAATCGAATTGAAGGCGCAGAAGGGACCTCTCTCCCGGTCACTTTTGAATATGTCGATTACGAGAGACGTTTATTGATAGTGAAGGAAGAAAAACTATTAGCAGCGAAAACAGACAGCCTTTCGGCAGAGACAACGTACATATGTCACAACCCCGGAGGCAAATGCAGGGGGAAAAATGAAAAATGATCTCATGGCAGAAATGGCATGACAGGCCTGTGGCACCGGAGGGTTAAAGCTGCTGCCGGGCACTGGTGGGTTAAGGGTGGACTTCGTAATATCGTCTAGAAACGAATGGTATTACATATCGATATCTAGTTATTATAATAAAATAAATTGATGAATCGATGGATAAAAGCAAAGGATATCAATAATTTATCAATCCTACATTTTTATAATATTAAAACAACAATTTGGAATTGAATATGCCTTATTAGTTAAATATTGTGATATGGAAAATATTCGATAAGGATAGATTAAAGGATAAAATGTGAACTATTAATATTATATTATTAAATATACCTTGTATATACCTTGAAAATGCCCTAAATATTATCACTAAAGATCGTTATTCCCTAAAAAATATTGACTTCTTTTGCCATCTCTATAGAAGGTGTGTCGGCATTCGTATAATTGCCATAATTTATCTGTCACATGTCGAATGTGTGTCAGCGTCAACGCAGAGTAGCAAAAGTAGTAGGATCACCCATTACCCATTTACCCACCACTGAATCACCCACCCACCTCATGCAGCACCACACATCATCATCAGCGAGCCACCACCCACTGGGCGGTATTTGGATTTCCTTGCAGGTCGGTCAGCTGTCATTAATATTTATTATGTCACATGCATGCCAGGGCCCAAAACATCGACTTTGACTCCCGGTTACGGTTACGGACAACGGATCCGGTTTCCCCGCTTCCAGTCTTCCAAGCTTCCAGGTTCAACTTCCCAACCAAAATACATACGTGCCCGAGCAGCTGGCCAAGAAGTTTCGGGTCAAGGGTTTTTTAATATTCTAATAGGCCGCATGAATATGCCAGGCAATTGGCGACAGGAGAGAAAGACTAGGGCCAAAATTTGGGCTAAACTCGGTAACAACCCTATTCGGATTGCTACTGCCATTTTGCGGCCGACTTAAAAATATTTCAAAACATATTATAATTATAACAATACAAGTTTAAAAATATTTAAAAATAATTTATAATTATAACAATAATTATTTTTCTCAATATTATTGTGTGGAAAATCAGCATCTGGGATATTGATAAAAATATGCAGTTTTATTAAAGTGTTTTTCCTGAGTTTTTGGTAAAAATTTGAATTTTTTTCTTTTTGTTTTTTTCTGTAACTTGGCTAAAAATGGTCTTACACCAAAAATTCAAACTGTTTTGAACAGATAACAAAATAAGAAATAAATCCATGACACTTTCCGGGTGATAGTGGAAAAATAAAATTTTCGCCAATTTTCAACTTTTTTATAAGGGGGTACCTCATGATTTTTTACGAAAAATGGCCAAAAAATAAAATGTCCAGGTTTTAATGCCAATCGTTCGGAAATTTAATAACGAGTTCAGAAAGGTATGACAATCCATATTTGGACCAATACTTCCATTGTTACGGTCAAAAAACGAAATATTTTTTTGTGAAAAATTGGAATCTGGGTTTTTGGTAAAAATTTGAATTTTTTTCTTCTTGTTTTTTTGCTGTAACTTGGCTAAAAATGGTCTTACACCAAAAATTCAAACTGTTTTGAACAGATAACAAAATAAGAAATACATCCATGACACTTTCCGGGTGATAGTGGAAAAATAAAATTTTCGCCAATTTTCAACTTTTTTATAAGGGGGTACCTCATGATTTTTTACGAAAAATGGCCAAAAAATAAAATGTCCAGGTTTTAATGCCAATCGTTCGGAAATTTAATAACGAGTTCAGAAAGGTATGACAATCCATATTTGGACCAATACTTCCATTGTTACGGTCAAAAAACGAAATATTTTTTTGTGAAAAATTGGAATCTGGGTTTTTGGTAAAAATTTGAATTTTTTTCTTCTTGTTTTTTTGCTGTAACTTGGCTAAAAATGGTCTTACACCAAAAATTCAAACTGTTTTGAACAGATAACAAAATAAGAAATACATCCATGACACTTTCCGGGTGATAGTGGAAAAATAAAATTTTCGCCAATTTTCAACTTTTTTATAAGGGGGTACCTCATGATTTTTTACGAAAAATGGCCAAAAAATAAAATGTCCGGGTTTTAATGCCAATCGATTGAAAATGTAATAACGAATTCAGAAAGGTGTGACAACCATTATTTGGATCAATGTTTCCGTGATGATTCTTTTAACACCTAACAAAATTAAGTTTTACAATTTTCCTGCACTCGTAGAGTTTGAGAAACGAATATAAAAATATATAGCTCAGATTAGTATATTTCTTTCGCTCCGATAATTTGCTTTGATCTCCTGATGACCACCTGAAACGCATCGCGCCCATAATTTCCGAGTTTGCAGAATGTCCAGAAGCACAATGGGCTCATTAGCCGTTTAATGGAATATGTAATGCGCCTGGGCCGAGTTGATAAAGTGACGATGTGAGTGGCCGGTTTTTGGGTGATTTTTGTAGATCTGGATTTCTGGTGGTTGTTGATGGCCAACGGTTGTCTCTCTGCCGCCCCCGAAAAACTAACAAACTAATCCAATATTTTTATTACGAAATGCCATTAAGGGTCATTGAATATTGTGGCATAATAAATAAATGGCATAGATATATGTAGTGGGTGCATGTGGGCCCGAGTATAATCCCAGCTATCAACGGCATCATTATTCAAAGACGGATTTAGCGGGGCGATACATATTACATATGGGAATGGATTTACCCCGGAAAACCCAGGGAAAACTCAAGAAAACTCTGACACACATACATCAAAGCGTCTTAAGTCCAGAGAAAAGCAGACGTTTGACTGCTCAAAAAGCGATTTTTCTGCCTGTCTTGAATGTGCCACCGAAGCCATTTTCATTAATAGGAAAATTCTGGGGAAAACTCCGTGTGTACGTGTGTGTGGGAGATGGGATTTTATGGCAAATCCTTTAGCCACTTGCCAATTGAAAATAAGCCAAGTGCTCGTTCTTCTGCGTTCTTCATTTTCCTTTCAAGGCGGCTACCCATTAATAAGCCAGTTCACACCCAAACACCTGACGCCCTTGGCTCACCTGCGGAATCCACCCAACCACCCACTCCTCCCCATTTTCCTGGTTAGCCACTCAAGGACCAACACGGCCAACGTGCGCTTAATTAGTCCGTTTTGTTTAAAACGATTCTGATGACCATGGAGCTGATGATGATTCTCATGTTGCCCACATACGTGTACGTATAACGTGTGTGCATATTCAGATAAATGCATGTACACATGGCCATTCCTTTTAACTGCTCTTCATGGAGGTCCTTTGATTTTCGGGGTCCTTTGAAAATAAATATGGAATATTTTGGTGTAGTTTAAACATTTATTTAATATTTAAAGAAAATTAATCATGCAGTATTTTGGTCTTCTATCTAAATCACTATTTAAATCACTATATTGTAATAATATTAAATTATATTTTTAATATTGAAAGCAGGTTTAAATATATTTAATTTATTTAATTATTCATTTAATTATTTTAAAAATAAATTACTCTGGCCGAATATATTTTTTAATTTTTATTTTGTTATTTTGCTCTTTAATAATCGCTTATAGAGCATTTGAAGACCCATAGCTCCACTTTTGATTGCCTTACACTTTTTTATTCGCCCATCGCACTTCCTGCAGGAGCAGCTATAGCTGCTTGTTTGCCAGCAATTCAATTTGCCGGCTTTCTATACTCGTTCACCCACTGT